TAACGTGCCGCGCGACGCCTCATCAATCAAATATATACGTATATCCCTCGCACGACGCACGATTATTTAAAAGAAATACAAACATAATTTGCGAATAGTCCGCGGCAACGACTTAATGTATTTTCAGCGAGGCGCGCAGAGTACATACAAAGGGGCGAGCCGAAGCAAAAAGAGAAAAAAAACGAGGCTTAAACTAGTCGAGCCGGCGAAATTAAATACAAAAAACAATAACAATGGGGCCGTGCAGCAGCAGGCACAGGACATGCACCTTAAAAAGGCGCCGATAAATGCAGCCAATCCAGAGCACTTGAGTGCGTGAGCGCGCGCGCTCGCGTATGTAGAACTAAAGAGAAGAAAAAAATAAATAACAGGAGAAAAACGCCGCCCGAGAAAAAAAGTACTCGCATACATACACGCACACGCACATGTATGTACTGTATATATGGGGCACGCAGCAGCGTCAGACCCTTGAGTCTCACATACGCACGATTGTGTGAGTATACGCGTATACACACATACGTGTATGTGGGTATGTGTATTCTACGCGCAATCAGATCGTTCGCGCCAACACAATAGGATCGTGGATCATTCCGGGGCCCTTTCATACGATCGGAGTATTCGGAGCTCGTCTGCGTATGCGCGTCTGTGTGCGCTACAATACATGTCACTCACACAAACGCTCGCCTCAAGGGCTAGATCCTTTGGGCTCCCCCCTTCCTTTTTGATCTCCCGTTTTAAAATCGCTCTCGTGAATTCTCCTGCCCTCGTCCTGTATACACACACACTGGCACATATTTAAGATGGATATTCGTCTCCCGTTGTACATGTGTGTGTATATGTGTGCGTGCAATTAACCGCTGGCTCCCCGACATTCTCTTTGCCTCAAGTACTATATACGAGGCGCACAGCGGTACACATACACACACGGACACGTGTCGAGGAGCCAGCTATTAAACCCATACATATAGGACTAGCAGCACACACATGCACACAAGGTGTTTAGAAGGGGCCGAGGGGCGTTTTATTCCGTCTCTTTCTTTTCCATGCAACGAGGCAGTGGCGGCGGCGGCGACTCCGTTGCCTGTGTTCATTCATTCACTCTCTCTCTCTCACTCGCGCCTTTTCAATTTAAGTGTATGAACGTGTGGCGAGCGTGTCAGACATTTTGTCGCCCTGAGAAAGAAAAGAGAGAGAGAAAATTCCTATTAGCATTTGTAATAGCGGTCACTCAGGTGCTACGTAGATCGGTACGAAGATCGCCGATGTCGCGATCGGACCCGCTCCAAAGCCTCGATATCATTTTTCGCCCTCCAGCTTCTGCTACAACTTTTCGATACTGTAATCTTAATTACTTGCTAAGAATGGTTGATACGTTGAGCTTTCTCGAGTATATAAGCAAGCCCGTTCGTTTATTTATCCTGAAACGCAAAAACATCATTTGAACTACGCGACTTTTGATAAAGAAAGAGAAAACAAATGATACGATACGCTCCGACGTTCTCTTTTTGTTTCGACTCTACCATCGAAGGCGAAGCTACATTTCGACTTATTACCACGCAGAGTGATCTCGAGAACAAGAGATCGTGGAGTACACTTTTCTGCGTAGGAAGCCGAAAAAGTAAATATTTGGGATTTCGCCCTCGACGCACAATTACGGTCAAGACTGTAATAACAAAGGAGCAAGCGAGCAATCGGAGAATAAAAATACCGAAGCTTTTTTCGCGAGTCGATCGCGAGATTTATAAGCTCTCGGCTAGCTAATTTTATCAATTTCCGCGCAGTATAATACCGCGTATAGAGGGACACGGTCGCGATTTCAAAGGGGCGCCGCGCGATCGTTTGCAATTGCAACGTCGTGCGCATATCCGTTGCAGCGGCAACAGCCAGCCGAGCTTCATTAATCCTCGAACTCGAGAGAAGAGATACATATATAAAAGAAAACGCAGGCGAGCAAGTACACAAAGAGAGCCTCGGTGCGCGCGAACAGTCGATCCATCTTGCCGATCCGCACCGATCGCCGCACTCACTGCTGTACGTACCGCGCGGCAGCAGATTTCTCTCTTTCTACATACTATACGCGCTGTACGGTGCAGCTTTCCCGTGGACTGCAGCTATATACAGAGAGAGAAGTGCGGCGGCGCACTCCCACTCGCGCTGCAGGAAGTTCAATGCTTGCAAGGAGGCCGCCGCAGCCCTCTCTGTATACTCTCTCTCTCTCTCTCTCTGTACGTTATATACACTCTCGCTCGCTGCAGCAGCATTGAACGTATACTCTATATATAAGCTGCGCTTTATACACATGTATATAGAACTCGGCTATATACCTCACCTCCGACCTCTCGAGCGCTAGAGCTCTTTATACATCCCCGTATAATATAGATATAGAGACCTGTCGAGCGCGTTCCTCTCCCTCCCTCACTCGTACTCGTACACCCTCGCGAGCGCTGCGATACGGGGCTGCCCGCGCCCACCGCCACCGCTGCGAGTCTTTTCGCGGCGCTGCTGCTACGCCGACGACGACGACGACGACGCGACGGTGGCTTTTCACGCACGCGTGAATCGCCGCTTTGGCCTCCCACCTGTAACACATATATGCGCTGTATATCACATCGCGGCTATGATACCTATTCTTGTACGTTGCGCGTGTATACATATAATACGAATGTGTAACTCGCATCCACGTGATATTCGCGCGACGTCGCTTTTACGGCATGTACAATATGATGTGTGCATTCTTGGTATGTATGTTTGAGAAATCTCGCTATAACGCCCCTTCCTAATTGACTATAAACTCAAGCTGTAACTGCGAGCTTTATTCACTTGAAATAGAGACCCTGGGTGCAAGTGTCGGATTAACGACGTCGTTCATAATGGACGATGACACTCGCTCGCGCGAGCAATTCGAACTGTACGTAATATGCTGGGATTTTTCAATATACCGCTCTCGAATTGCATTCGAATGTAACGTCAGCCCGCATCCGACGCGATAACCGGACACTTATAACTTTCTTCATAATTATGTATAATGTACTAATTAATCAGTGTGTGGCAGCGCAATCTGTTGCTCCCTTGTTTTTTTAAATTTATGAACCATATACGCTGCCGATCATCGAATCAAATTAATATACTTAAGCGGACTTAATTTGTAGCAAGAGATCGTGAACTTTCGTTTCCTTATGAATGGCGACTCAGCGAATGATTTTAATGAATATGGCGCGTGCATTCCGAGCGGATACTAAAATCTCGTTAGAATCTCACTAGAAATATCTTCGTAAAAATGACCAATAAACAGCACGGAAACTCCAAATTATTACACTGAAAACCCAAAAGTATAAAATTTGCTGTTAAATAGTAATACTTGCGCGATTTGCACTATTCAAAAGTGTTTCGAGCGTAGGTTACTCTTCTTGAAAATTTTCATTTGGAAAAAGTGCAAGGAGCTCAGATTACACTTTTTGGAAAATTATCAGAAAAAGCTTAAGAGGCATAGTTTTTCAATACCCTTTTCTGATGTGATTTTTCAAAAAAGGTAATCTGAGCTTGAAACGCTTTGGAAAAGTATAAATTGCACTTTGCCCTTTTTCCAAATAAAAATTTTCGAAAAGTATAACCTGCGCTCAAAACACCATTGAATAATGTGAATGGCGCAAGTATGAAAATTTCACAGCAAATTTTAAACTTTCGGGTTTTTAGTGTGTTGTATAGGGTAATCAACGTTATATAAGGTTTTAAACTATTGGTACTCCTCACTCTCTTTTCCCATAATCGACAAATTAACGAGGTTAGACAAATGTTTTTCATCTGAAATAGCACAATTTTTTGATCAGTTTCACGTGTACACTTTTTCAACACTTTTATTCGCCATCTATTACTTCCCATTGATTTTCACCTAGGAAAAAAAGATTGAATATTCGATTTTCATGGTGGCCTTGGTATTCCCTTTAATTTCAAAATAATGTTAAAGTAGTGTAAGAAATGTAGTATTATTTTCGTAAGAAACAAAATATATATTTACCTTTGAATTTATAATATTTTTACTGAATTTTAATGGCTGGTGTAAGAAAAAGCTGCAGCCATTATGATTCAGCCTAGTTTAAGCAACCGAAGTAAATTAAAGCCACTTGAACCATAACGCTTATTCATTTTCCGCAAGCTCAAAGTTCCGTTGAACAAGTTTTGCATCATTAATCGACTAATGAATCTTGAGCCGGACACCCACTTGACTTTCGAATGCACCACACATCAACCGAACACTGCGATTGGTCGAAAATGACCATTACACGACTCTACTACACGTCCGAAAAAAGTGAAAAACTTGGAAAGTAGAGAAAGTTTAATGAGTAGATACTCACAGTCCGAATGCTCGAATGTGAATCATATGAGTATTCTTACATATTTTACGTCCGATGGGTTCGGGGCCGAGACTGACATACGGTATCAAATTTTGATATTAAATCTCATACGCGATTAATCCTATTCCCCTATTTTTTCTCCGATAAAAGTGTTGGTTATCTAAAAAATCTGTGAGATTATTTCACACGTAATAGTTATTACTTGTTAAAAGGTCTGACGTAAAAATTAGATTTTCACTCGTATCTACATATTTGTGGGCTCGGTCGTTGTTGTATCTAATCATTTTTCTATTTAAAATCCAAGTTTTGCCTAGACACAGCTGTTGCTTCGTGACGTCAATTTTAATCTTCGGGTCAAGTATTACGTTACCAAAGTATTACGATTTTTTCTCGAGTGGTTTCGAAGCTTTCAGTAATGTTTTGAGCTTCTCGCAATGATATCGTGTTTATGTTCAAAAAGTTTTTTTTTCGTAAAAATAACGTGTCGATACGTAAATTATTTGAAAAATGTCTACAAACTTGGTAAAACTTACGTTGCCGCTTGGTCAACGAGGCCCAGATGGAATCTTGGTAAAATTTAGCTATAATTGATTTTTTAATAATGTTTACAATTTTAGAAATATAATTAAAAATATTTTAATGTTTTAGTGTCAGAAACTGTTACAACAGCGGAGCACCAATAATTTGACTGAAAGAAGCGCATTCATAAATAAATTCACAATCAAGTAGGTTTACTTTTTCATTTTTTCCCCACTTCGATAACTAAAGAACGAATCACCCAATCTTAATGCATATACTCAACAGAGTGTTGTTAAGATAATGAACACGTGCATTTTTGCAACATTATTTCCAAATCATATCATACGCAATTGTTTATATTTCGATCGAATTTTCAAAAATTTAGAGAATTATGTTTAAACACGATGAATCCTTGACTTCAACGTTTTTTGGTAACGTTTACCGATTTCATATCGCACTTTTAATAAATTTACGGAAATTCAATTTATTTTAAACAATCAATCAGTCAAAATTGTAATATAATTAAAATGAATACTTTATACATTGTTTATTTCAAAAAGCTGAGCGTAATTAATTGTCTACATTACTGATTTATTATAAATGAGGTATGGTATGAAAATATATAATATGTTGGTTACAACTTCATATTAAATCATAAAAAATGCCAACACCTCAATAGATAAATCATTCACCTTATTGAACATTCATTTTGTGAAATTCAAGCAACTATGTACCCTTACGGTTTTTAATTTTTCCGAAATTTCAATAAATTTCCATAGAAATTGCAGCTTGATTGAATATCGGATATGAAAGAAAATTTCTGACCGATCCAAAAATTTAAAACTTTTCAAGTTGTTGTATGACAACGTAAAACATAAATTTTGAAAAGCCGCCACGTTTTAACGGTCGTTATGCTCAGAGCTTAAAGTGATACTGAAATCAATTTAAAATTACTATTTTCGAAAAAATTTTTGAGATTTCAGGTGACTATTTTTCTAAAATGCTGGATATCTTCATTTTATTATTTTCTAAATACCCACGTAGCTTTAAAAAAAAATTCAGTCGAAATCTTCCGAGGAAACTTGCTTGAAAATTGTTATTTTTGACTGGCTTCGGCGTCTTCATTCGGGTGATCTTGCGTGAATGAAATTCTAATAAACTCTTTAAAATGCAGTGTGATGTCGGTAAAAGTAATAAAAAAAAAAAACACAAAGTATAATGCTTACTTCATTTTTAAACATCAATTCCACCAAATTTCTAAGCACTTTTCTTAAAAATTCGAAAATCGGCACTGTAAAACTCAACAAATAATGATGCCCTTCACCAAGAGTATGCAGTGCAGTGTACGATTGCAGTCGATTCGTTTTTTACTTATCGAACCGAGAACAAAAATAAATCATCGGCCAACGTGTAAAAAAAAGCGACGATTGGATCGTTGCATCGCTTTCAGACGCACGTGCATTCGGACAATCGTCACGATATTGCGCCCAATTATCATTCGAATAACAATCTACAACAATTATATTTCATTCTTCCGATAAACTTTTTTTTTTTAAATTTGTTTATTTTTTGAAAATTGTTTATCAACATAACAAGCTCGGCCCTCACGATGCATCGCGACGTTCGGCAAAGCGCGCCAGCGATAAGATTTCACCTTATCGTGTAAAAATTGATCGTATTTCGGCGCCTCCGGCCTTTTTACGTATGAGAAAAACTTTCCGCGCAGCGAACGTCAATTTCGCGGCTGCCAGCGCGTGTGCAATTCATGCCTCCATCGTGAATGTGTGTACTTTTGTTTTGCTCTTCTTTTCTTCATGGCCATCGTCGTCGTCGTCGGCGCATATGATATATCGGAGCGGCGATAAGATGGAGACACAGGATACATATTTTATATTAATTATTAAACCGAGAAAGTAAAGAGAATTGCTGCCGGCCAGTGGTAAAAAAGCTCGAAAAGTCGGGAAGAATTGAGAACCACCGAAAAAAACGATATACCGCGACCTCAACTGTAACTCGTTAAAACCAATTATTTTATCAAAATGCCTACGTGAGTTTTGTCGAGGCAGAAGATAAATCTTCGCGCAACATATATGCCATGTAGCGATGTAATTTTGGGCGTCTATCTTTGGCGCAAGAGAGAGAATTATGAAAGAGCATCGTCTTCGAGCGCGCGGCGCATCGGGTCGGGCCGATGGACGGAAATATAATCATGGCGACCCGCGCGCACGTGATTTTTTCGTTGCTGTTGTTCGATACGCACAAGCTCGAACGGACGATTAAACAAATAGCTCTCGTGAATTTTCTCCGAAGCATATATCGTCTGCATCGCGAATCGAAATTAAACAAATTCTGGGATTTACATATTGCGAATGCGGGCCAATTTCGCTGTATCACTGTGCGTACATTACATACGTATGACATAATCGACGAATTAAAATTTCGTCATTTGAAACATATGCCAAAAAAAAAAAAAAAATCAAGCCGATATAAGCTAATAATACGGCTCATTTTACTTCAATATGCGAATTATAAATTCGCAGAAATTACAATGGCCCGCAATCGCTTGCACGACATATCGGGGCACACGAGTGCACACACGCAGTACGCAATATAGCGCCGGAGCTATATATAGGTATAGAGCACTGTAGGCTGTAAACGTTTTATGCGATACGCGATATCACGAGAGAAAGAGAAAAAACAAACAAACTAAAAAAATATATAGGCGGCCTGCGTGTACGAGACTACTCGGCCGCTCTCGGCTCGTGTATATAAGCGATCGTACAAGCCGCTATATATATAGACGCGCCGCTGCCGCCGCCGCCGCGTGAGTATTCGGAGCTCCGAGCGTCGCTCGGCCAGCTCTTGTCGGCTGCTGCGCTCCTGATACAAGTTCGATCCAGACAATTTATCCTCGCGGCGATATCCGCGACATTTTCTTGCGCTTTATTAACTCTCGTCGCTGCCGCGGCGGCGGCTCTCGAGCGTGTTTATCCGTATATTTAATGACTTTCATTGGGTCTGGATATTGTTTATTGATGAATAAATTTGAATCCCGTTTGGAGCTGCTGTCGCTCGCTCGCTCGCGAGCACCGCTGCCGCTGCTTGCTGTAAAAAAGGAAGTTATAATGCCGACGCAGCGCCGCCGACTAACGTGTGTTGTGTGTATACACGGCGCATCCATGTTTTTCTCGGGGCTTAAAAGCACCATTATATAAATTAATGTATGTAGTACGTCGAATTTTCGCGATGAGAGTCGCGAGAACACGCGAGAAAGATCGTCACCTGCTGCGGAGTATCATGTTTTTTTTTCTCGAAATGCCTAGCTCATTAAAAATGATTTATTAATTATTCTCCATTTTCGATTTTCCTACAAAGTTCAGGAAATTTCAGTCGCACTGCTGCTGATAATCGTCGCTTATCTATCCTTTTTTATTTCCCGCAATTAAGCGCGCCCGCATCGCAATGAATGCATCCCGAGTTTTATACATTACGAAGCTTCGTCGTCATAATACCACACTATACATATCGCGCCTGCAATGATCTCTCTCCATAAGGCCTGCTGCTGCTGCTGCTGCTATGCTGTGTATCCCGCACCGCCCCCACCACGCGGCCTGCTGTGTAAGCGCCTGATTGACGGTAGTTTTAAGTGTAGTGGGCGGAACAGAATAGAAGCTCGTCTCTCGCTACGCGCCGCATAAGCAGTAAGTATTCTCTTGATTACATGGCGCATGTGCCTTTTGTCTCTCTCTCTCTCTTCTCCCTGTCTCTTTCGCTCGCTCGCTGCGTTGCGGGATATGCCAAGGAAGAGAGAAGTCGTCGTCGGGAGAGTCGCTGCCTCGTTCTGGACTGGCTTCATCAAAGGCTCGTCATATAGTCGTCGCGTAAGCGCATGCGAGAGAAGCCACCAAAAGTGGGAGACGACGTCGACGAGAGTACTTATATGTATGAAAACGCTCACTTATACACACAGCAGCCAGACACGCAGACATAGACACGGCGCTCGACAGTCGCACGTACACACATTACGCGTCAGTGACGAGAGCCCGCGAGATGCTCGTAATGAAAAGAAGAAGAAGAAGTAGAAGTATAGAAGACGAGTCAAAAGGCTCTCGAGAGATCTCTGCGCTCCGTCACAAGACTCGGAGGAGGAGGTATATTTTCGCGGGCAGCGTCAGCCGCAGCTTTCTCGATTCTCTCTTCCCATACTATCCCAATACTTTGTAGTATTCCACTGTTTGATCTTCTTTGTATTCTTTTTTACGCGATCGCCATCGTGTGCGTATATATATCATTTCGGAGTCCTCGCTTAGTTTCTAGCAGGTGTGTATGTGTGCGAGAGTGACTGCATACACACACACCAATACATACGTGCTCGGGCAGCGAATGAAACGTAAACCCCCCTTCGAGAACTAGAAATAAAAAGAGAGACAGCTAGAGAGAGAGATGGAGTGTCTCGACTAATGAGATAATATAATTTCCTGCGCGAGGACGATGCCTCCACGAAATTGAGATTTCAGACGCTCGGCGATAATAATTCATAGTTCTCGTTTACGATCGTATGGCTGCCGCTGCTGCCCTATACAGCACACGATATGGCCTCTCTTTTTACCTCGTGTATTCCTCGGACTCGACCAATGAAAGACGCTTTCCTAGCGACGATAAATTTAGTTGACGCACGCCGACTTTGTATTCGCCCGTGTCAAGGTTTTTACATTTTCGGCTGATTTATTTTCGAGCGGCTCTCGCGTTCCCTCTCTTGTTCTCTGGGATTCTCGCTCTGTTGCGAGCAGAGCGAAACCGAGCGACGAGCCGTGCAAACGATCGTTAAATATTCACTGTTTCTCAGCGTCGCTCTGTGTGCTGCTGCTGCACACGTTTCCAAATCGAGAAAGAGAAAGAGAGAGATATCCCTCTCCGCGGATTCGTGCATATGAGCGCGGCTCATCTTCTATATATAGGCTATATAAATTCAATGCGATATACACAGGTGCTCGAATATAAGCGTTCGCGAGTATCGATTGTTTACTCCTGACTTTTCCCACCTGTGTGTCAATCAGTATTGACTTTTTTTGCGATTTTAACGCCTCGACGAGTATCGCTAATTCATCGAAACTCACCGTACGGATTTATAATAGTCATGGAAAAAGTTGGGTAAAACGCTCCACCCGCTTGGAGAAACTGCGCTCGATAAAAAGCTATACCGATATTCGGTAAAATTATCCGAATAAAATTTCTCTAGGATTCAATTACATAAAAATTTGAGCAAGAAGCTAAAAAGTGAGTGAAAAATTGCTCGAAAATTTGTTGAAGTTCATGGGTTGACCCGAAATGAATTGTTAATGGGTACAGTGATTTATTCTCAACAAAAAAGGTCTCTTGCAAATTTTTTCTAAAATTTATAATTTCCAAGTTATTCATCTATTCACGTTAGCAAACGAGTAAACAATTTTTCGCAGGGTCCTAAAAACCATATAAATACTGCTGATTTGACTATTGCAAAGGTTGCTACATTTACTTCATATATTGTCATGCAATTTACCTGAAATGTACCTATGTTAACATTATAAAAAAACTTGACTGTTAAATCATTTTTATCTATGCATTATAGGATAGTATACAGGCAGAAATGGGTTTTTTTTCAATATCGTAAAATTCAAGCATTAAAATAAAGCAATTATCTCAAAGTGTACAAACTCTTGTAAAGGAATGTTCAGAGCGTTGTATACAACTTGTATTAACATCAAACTCCGAATATTTATTTGGATTTTCCACATTTATGGATGAATTGGTTCATTTTTGGAAACATTATACTCAATTTATAACTCTACAACTATTAATTATAGAGAAAAAAATCAAGAAACCTTTTACCTTTATGATGACTAATATTTTCTCGAGATATTTTTGTTTTTGGGTCTAAAACAATAATTTTCACAATTTGTTTAAAAAAATGTACTAAACGATTTTGAAAAATTTTCACTCGGAAACATATTCAGTAGCTTATGTAATATAACTACATGAAATACATAAAATTATAAAAAAATGATCAAACCCGACGTTTTTTTGCTGAAAATACGTTCTATTTATGATAAGCGATTTCTCAATCAAGTCGGAAGTTATTAGTAGTTATATATGACTACGAATGCACCTGAAAAAATTATAGATATTAAAATTATTCAAAATCGTCAATATCGACTAAAAATTGTACCTACCTAATATCTTATATCAATTTTACGTTAAATTTTTCTCTTATGAAAACATATTAAAGTGAAAGCCTAAAAAGTCTTATTAGAAAAGCTTATTTTCATATATTTTCATGTAAAATGTGTGATATTGCAGGAATGCCTACATAATATACTCTGTAGACCAATTAAAGAAAAATAAATTTCACATTATGATACTAATAACGTGAAATTCAATAAAAAATATGTGCTGCAAGTTTGTAGAATAAAATGACCAATTTTATCGTAATTTTAAATAAAATGATATTTTATTATGATACTAGCTCTATCTCAGTATGCTTTGTGCACTGTTGAATCATTTTTTAATTTCTCATTTTGTCGTAATAACAATGATTGATACAAAAGTTTTTACTATTAATTGGACATGAGATAAACAATGACATTTTTTTCAATGATATAATCACAAAGACTTAGTTTTGCTTCGTTTATATTGATAATCTACATAACCCGAAAACTAAAAAAGAGCATATGACTTGTGCTTGTTCTCTTGTTTACGTCATGCATAGCATGCATGACCTCTTGAAGTGTTGCCCAGCACGGTGTTTTGCTGTGTATGCCATAGCGCTACGCCACACGAATTTAAGCTGGTACGTAGACACAGTTTTTCAAAATATAGCGAGCACAGCACAGCAGTCTTCACCAGTCTTTCAGTGTATAGTTAGCATGATACGCAAAATCATCGCAGAAATTTTACACGTTAACGACAATATAAGTGAGAAAGATGGAATCCAGCAATATGTTTGATTCTGCTGTTAGGTATTTTCATTTTACAAGAATGAAATTGTAAAAATATTCTTGCAAAATAATTAATGTAATCGGTGTTATTACAGAGTGGAAGAAGAATATACTAATGCGTTGCTTCTTGAAAATATTTGTCACGTGATTGACGAGAAACCTGATCTTAAACATTTCCAACTCTTACCACTTCTACCAGAAAATTTAGTAAGTTTTGATAAATCTATATAACTGTTTTTAGGGTTTCTTGTTTATAAACATTATTTACATAGCTTCGATTTTTCAATAGATCCATACGCTCCCAAAATGTGACAATAAACTTGAAAAAGAACTTGATGACAAAGTAGAAATAGTTGTTGAATGTGAAGACGTAAAGCCAAATATTAATTTATTGTCAGTGAAGAAAATTGACGATGATTCTCAAAATCATTTGCAGATTACTAAAAATGGCGATATTTGTAAAGATCGAAACAAAATAAAAATAGATCCCGCGGAAGAAGTGAAACAAGAATTTGTTGGTGACGATGCCGGAGAATTGAATTTCAATTTCAACTGCGAACATGTCGAACAAAATAGACAAAGAAGAACTCAAAAAAGGATTAATAACAAACATAACCTCAAAACAAACATCGATACGGCGCATAATAATAAAACCAACGCATGTAAAATACGTGGAAAGAAATTGGCAAATAAGCCTAATCTGGATAGGCATGTCATATCATCACATAATCACATCACCTACGCGTGTAATATATGCGGAAAGAATTTTTCAACTAAAGGTAATCTGAGTAGGCATGTCAAATCATCACATGATCACATAACCCACGCATGTGAAATATGCGGTAAGAAATTTTCACATAGGAGTAGTCTGAGTAGGCATGTTACAACATCACATAAATGTATTATCCAAGCATGTGAAGTATGCGAAAAGACGTTTACTCAGAAAAATCATCTCAAAACCCACATTGACGTGATGCATAATGGTGTCACCCACGCATGTGAAATTTGTGGAAAGAAATTTTCAAATAAAAGTAATGTCAAAAAACACATTGTTCAGGTGCACACTCGTATAAAACACACATGCGTCACATGCGGAAAGATATTTTCATGTAAAGGTAATCTCAAAACTCATATTGATTCCGTGCATGATAAAATTGCTCACAGATGCGATATATGCGGTAAGAAATACTCACTGAAGAGTGATCTCATAAAACACATTGATGTGATGCATAATGGTGTCATCCACGCATGTGAAATATGTGGAAAGAAACTGTCAAAGAAGAGTAATCTCAAAAAACACATCGACGCAATGCACAATGGTGTCAAATATACATGTGATATATGCGGTAAGAAATGCTCACTGAAGAGGGATCTCCAAAACCACATTGATGTGATGCATAATGGTGTCATCCACGCATGTGAAATATGTGGAAAGAAACTATCAAATAAGAGTAATCTCAAAAAACACATCGATGTAATGCACAATGGTGTCAAATATACATGTGATATATGCGGTAAGAAATGTTCACTAAAGAGTAATCTCAAAAAACACATCGAAGCAATGCACAATGGTGTCAAATATACATGTGATAAATGCGGCAAGATATTTTCATATAAAAGTAATCTCAAAACTCATATTGATTCGGTGCATAATAAAATTACTCACACATGCGATATATGCAGTAAGAAATACTCACTGAAGAGGGATCTCAAAATCCACATTTCTTCGCGTCACTCACGCATTACAACTTAATGAACTTATAAATTTTAATTTTCATGTTCAGAAGACTAATAACAAATTTTTGTGTATAGTAATATCATGAGTTCTTCCAATGTAATTTCATAATGTAATAGCAATGTTTAAATTTTAAGAAAAATAAATAAATTCTTGGAGGAAAATGAAACACTTCTTAATTGTGAGTTAACAAAATATTGAACCCCATAGGTTGATATTAATTTTATAATGCTATAGTCATTTCTCAGCGCGCTTTACTCGCCCTGAATTATGCAAGCTTTATTGTTTCGCGACTTACTTGTGTTTATGAGAACTGAATCGCATTCGCGCTATCACATCAATTTTTTATAAGAGAATACATCTTATAGTTACTTTAACTTTCACTAGATCAATACTTTTTCAAACGAATCTTTTAAATTTTTGAAAGAGATTAGTAATTCGCCCATTCATCCCATAGAAAGATATACTTTTCTAAGCCAAATATTCCACGTCACACTTATCACCCACGAACTAGTGATATTCAGATTCTCTCGACTCGTCGTCATCGTCATAGACTTTTGCATCAGCTGATCTTCTTACGCACCATGATCAAAAGAGGAAAAAAATCAGAGTGATACAAGAAGATCGAGCGCGTCGTCATCAATCTACATCTCGGCGCGCGCTCTCACTGGGCTGCATCCCGAGATTTATCGCGCGATCCCATTTTTCGCGTAAAAAGTTTTCGAAAATAAACGCCGCGTTGTTCTATTTTTACCGTGTATACATACAATTCCTCGTCCTAATCTCCGAGGCATTTATAATATTTTTCTTCTGTCCATTACATTTCTCAAAAGTTGACAAGCCGCGAAGTAGTAAGCTACATAGGCGCGATTATATTGTTGCCGTCGAAAGAATAATCGCGCGTTACGTAGAAACATATCAATTGTGAACTACAAATCCGACGTTGATGCCCGTTTGATGGTGATGCGGTGGGTCCAATTTTTATCTGTCTTGTGGCGACGCGGCTCGTACCTTTTGATATTCTGTGACCGATGCTTAATACGGTGCCGAAAATTATTCAGATCACCGTGGCGGCGGCTATCCTCGACTGTCACCTTGAATATGTGCTGCTAATGTCGTCTAAATGAATCATTCGGTAGTATACACGGAGAAAAATGTATAATAAGTATTCTTATTATTAGAAGAAAAATTACTATAATGCTTAGTACTCGTGGGACATCTAAGCGTTGTGATGATTTCTGNTACTAGCGCTACTACGATGTATCAAGTACAAATGAAATACAAGATACATTTATGCGTCTTCAAAACAACAACAATTAATATATCTTTTGTCACTCTCGTGCTCAATTGCAAGTCGCTTGGGCTTGGAAAACTATAAAATATAAAATACTCGCATTGTTCAATTATATAAAGATTGAACTTTTTATACTCGCGGCCTTCACAAGTTCTATGAATGAATCGTCGTCGAAAGTAGCATGTACTGTAGCAATATATTGAGCCTAAGCCGTGTATTGGAATATTATGAATAACATTTTTTTCGAGTCTTATTTCAAATCATCTTTTCGAGCAAATAACGTACCCCTTCTAGAGGGTAGTCCACGTAATGCATAATATTATATTAAATACATATACAGCTGCAACACATCAAAATCTAATCGAATTCATAGTTAGAGATCTTTCTGTCATTTTTTCTTCCGCTCATTTCATTTTCCTTGTGCTCTCTCTTTACGAATCTTTTTCAGTCAGCAATTGTTGCCTTTCGGTAATCACATCATTTGATACTCTTTATTACTGCGCCATTGTATAAAATGGTGTTAATTGTAATGAATTTTAGAAATATATGATTTTGTTTTTACTTTTTCAGAGTGATGCTGAAGTAGAGCCCAAGATACTAGAATTAAAAAAACGTCTACAGATTGCAAAAGAGACGTTTCAACCTCTTATAATAGCGGTGGGCAGAAATCTTACAAGTATAGAGTCCTACCATATAGCTGTGAATGATCAGTTGTACGAGTTAAGTAACTGTTTAGAAACAGTTGTAGTTGCTTTGAAAATATTTTTCAGTTTAGACTGTGAGTACCCCGAAAATACGCAAGTAATTTGGAAGTTCTTACAACAAGTTTTGTTAAATATTAAGGAAGAAAAGGTTGTTACCGTACAGATGAAAACTTATTTCGGTCTTATTAAAATTTTGCAAGACAATATTTAAAAATGATTACGTGTAAAAATTGTTTTTTAGAGTATGAAAACTCGAGCGAACTTTATGATCACATTGTAATATTTCATAAGGATTTGCAGAGTTATAGTTGTATGTTTGAAAATTGTAATCGCGTTTATAAACTGTTGAATTCGTTAAAAAAACACGTAGGGAATAAGCACATTGTTGTCCCTGTCAGAACTCAAAGCCCTCCTCCTGAACAGTTTTTTACTGACCAAAATTTTCAACACAATGTTCAGAGAGAAGAAGAAATCCTTGACAGCGACAATGACATGAGCGACGACGACGTTTATGAAAATTTTCAGTCTGTTGAAAATGAAAGTTTCGATGATATAGATACTTATGAAAATATTACCTGGGAAAGTGACTTGAAAAAAGCTGTATCAGTATACGTCGCAAGTTTATTTAATTTAAAAAATATTCCTAGAAAGTGTGTTAACGATATAATTCTTAAGTCGGAGGGATTTATAAAAACATTGTCAAATATTTTGAAAGAAAACATAAAAAACGTATTGACCGAGTCAATATCTCAAAATTTAGTAGAATTAAACAAAATGTTTGACACACTTTCAAAATCTTTGACGACTGTAAATTCTGAGCATAAACGGTTAGTAGTGTTTAAGAAATTAAAAACGTTCGTACCCCCTAAGTCGTATAAAATTGGTGAGAGAAGGGAATACCGCAAAGTAAACAATGCTATGAAATTAATGCATATCCCAGTTAATATTCAAATGATTCCTCTCAGATCTGTACTCAAATTGTTTTTTGAACTACCTAACGTTTTTGAAGAGGCAAATGAGTATATGAAAAGTTTAATTTCTGATGACACAATTGTTAGCAACTTAGTTCAAGGGATTTATTGGAAAAATCGCTCGAAGTTTCACGGCAATAAAATAGTTTATCCTCTCATATTTTATTTTGACGACTATGAAAATAATGATCCTTTAGGTTCTCATAAAGGGATTTCCAAGACAGGAGCAGTTTACATAAGTATACCCTCTTTACCCCCTCACTTCCAATCCAAATTAGAAAATATCTTTGTTTTTGCTCTATTCAATTCGTTAGACCGAGTAATATTTACTAATTCTGTAACTTTTTCTAAACTCATTGACGAAATCAATTATCTGAACGATTTCGGAATTGTTATAGATACTTCATTAGGTACTATAACAATTTTCTTTGAACTCGTTCTTTTAATTGCTGACAATCTTGGACTCCATTCACTTTTAGGTATGACTGAGAGCTTCAAAGCGAATATCTTTTGCCAACATTGCTTAATAAATCAGATCGAAAAAAATGATGTATTTTTAGAAAAAGATTGTATTTTACGGACTGTTGACAATTATGAGAACTTGTTTTTAATGAATGATTCAAAACAATCTGGTTTGAAAGAAAAATGTACTTTTCATAAGATAAATAATTTTCATATGAGTGAAAACATTTGTGTGGACGTGATGCACGATTTGTTTGAGGGCGTGTGTCGGTATGACGTTGCTTTAATTTTAAATCATTACATATTTGTAAAGAAATTGTTCACTCTTGAAAAGTTTAATTTAAGGACTCGTAGTCACGAGTATGGGCCAAAATATAACGTAAATAAACCCCCAGAGATTCAGGAGAGTTCGGTGAAAAAAGGTTACATTATTATGTCTTCCTCGGAAATGTTATGTTTAATTAAGAATATATGTTTAATTATTGGTCCTTTGGTTCCTCAAGATGATGAGGTATGGGAATTATTAATAATTTTGAAAGAGCTTGTTACAATGGTATCAAGTACTATTATAGATCAATCGTGGTGTAAAGCCCTAGACATCATTGTGTACGATTATTTGTCATCGTTGAATGATTTATTTCCTAATCATCTGAAACCAAAGCACCACTTTTTAATACATTATGGGAGATGTATGTCGTTATTTGGTCCTTTATGGAAACTCAGCTGCCTGAGATTCGAAAGCAAAAACCAAGAAGGTAAACAAATTTCCAAAAGCACAACGAGTAGAATTAACATTAATAAGACGATTGCTGTAAGACATCAATTATACTTAAATTATAGGTTCTTAACAAAAAAATCGTCTTATGAACTTTTTAAATCTAAAAAAAAAAATGAGTGTATTTCAGATGTTGATAATTATGTACAATTCATGAACTTGTTAAAGAACAAAGAGCTTGAACGTTTGGTACTTTTGAAGCATATTGATTATGCAGATAAAAGAATTAAAAAAAATACTGTTTTAATAACATTTTGTGAAAATGGGCCAATTTTCAATATCGTTCAAGAAATTGTACAATATCAGTCTGAATATATACTCATTTCGAAAAAATTAAAAAACTCGATTTTTGTTCACCACTTGCAGGCTTTTAAGTTATATGATTTTTCTTCGTTCGAGTGGGTATTATTGGACAAATCAGATATTGAGAATTCTATTATATCTTATCACATTTTTATAAAAGATGGTGTTTATGTTAATAAATCTTGGGTTTAATGTTTGTATCGTATGCATTTACGATGATTGATATGTAATATGTTATATTCAATAAATACGTATTATTTTAAAAATTAATATAACTTTTTTATTTGCGTCTGAAAGCATCTCGATTTTGAGACTTTTTCCTCCTCGTTTTTCTCAACAATCGAGGCACGCGCGCGCATATTAATACATTTTCCTACCCTCATTTCCAAACCGTAAGTCCAAGTATCAGCATGTTTTTCCCTTTCTCTGACGAAAAGACTTGCCTCACTCACGATTTGTTCGGGGTGCTCTATCAAAGCTTGCACTTCCTTTCTTAGTTTCGCGAACATTATTAAACAATCTATTGGGATCTGAGATGGAAGCGGGTATTAGCTGCTCGGATCGTCAAATTTACATAGATTATATACCTATATTTATAGAAACATGGCCACCAACGATCCGAGAGTCACGTTTATTTTGGATGTCTATTTATGGCCATCTCAGATCTCAATACCTACTACATAGCCTCCTAACATCTTCACCAGCAGGTGGCGTATAAGAAACCCGCATGCGGCAAAAAAAAAAAAAAGATTGATATATAAGGAAGATCCAAATTTCCTTTAGTATTAAATATGCGAGGCAATAGCCAACTATAGGTAGCTAGATATAAGTTAAAGCGTAAATAAATGTAATGCGATTTAGAATATGTACAATGCGAGCGATATATGTAAATTAGTGAAACATCGTAATTATAAAAATTTGTCAGAATCGTTATAAGTTAAAATTAAATTCCCTAAATTACTTCGGTAAAATATTCTAACTAATAAATCAAAAAATATTAGTTTGAATATAAATCCGAACATCTACATTTTTGATATTTCAACCACGGTTTTAAACTGCTCCTATCAAAGAAAAAAGTACTCTTTACATTAGAAAAAATGGTTTTTTTAGTAAGAAAAATTGTTAATATTCGTTGGAAAAATTAATTATATTCTTTAAAAAAATTATTCATATTCATAAGAAAAATTGTTCATGCTCGTAAGAAATATTGTTCATACTCGTGAGAAATATTACTAAAATACTTAGTAAAAACTAATATAAGTAATTTTTGCTATGGTGTATAGTAAAATTTCAAATAGGGTCGAGATGTCACACTTTTACTATAAATTATAGCAATTTTTCCTAAAAAAATAGTAACATTTCTTATACTATTTTTCTCCGTGTAATAGTTCTGTCGAAATTTTTTCGACTGTTGTCTATTAACAAAACTAGGTAAAATCTTATCGTATTACTCGAATAGTCGAGAAAATGTCCACATACAAATTAGCCGTTTATACTAGTTTTGCTACAATCTTTACTTCGTCTTTCGGTTATTACATCGATAAAAGTTCAAACACGTGCGGCTCGTTTTTGCGAACACACAAAGCTGCAAGCTCTACGATGACATGTGCTTCTTTATCATCTTCGAGACACGCGTATAGACTCTGGCATTTCCTTTGCGAAGTTTTTTCCTTAATCTCAATTGCCCAATTGTAAATATTTGTATATTCGGCGGGAGAAATCCATTCAACGAAGTTCGTAAACAACGACGTCTATACGGACGGATGATCATTTCTCAATGATCAACTCACGCGTGCCCCGAGTCATTGACCACTCGCAGAGTGAAGTTGGAGTATATGTGAGCAAGTAGAGCTCGATATAGACGCCCACACGCCGAGTCTATAGATCTTTGGGTTAAACTCGATAAAATAATGATCGCATGTAGAGAAGAGTTCCTATAGCTTGGTAAGTTTTTTTAATGGACCGTACAAATACTCTCAATTTTTAAGCTCAGAATCGTTCGTTAAGGCGGGAGGGGGTAGCGTGAAAACAAAATTTGAAAACGAAATCGTCGCACGAGAACTTCACTCTCAAAACTTCGTGGCAGCCAAAGAATATATAGTTCCCGTTATTTTTGAAGTTTTGCCTGTACACGAGGAGAGAGATTCCAGCAGTTTGGAAGTATAAAATGTGTGTGTGTGTGTGCGCGTTTTTTTTTCGGACGCGGCTCGACGCTTCCGAAATTCCATAATGTGCTCGGCTTTCGGTTTCATCCATTCATTCATAAAATATATTCATATTATGTACAAATACAAGAGCCATAGTCGAGCAATTGAAGCGATATATTATAGTGAAGTTTTCGAAGTATAGCGCGTAAATAGCTGCTCGTCGCTCGACTATAAGCGATTACTACTATATACACTGGCCTCGGCGATCATCATCGAATAATACACGAGAGAACTGCGCAGTGCTCGGCACGAGGCAGCACTCGAGTGGTATAGGCAGTGCAACCGACCGACCTTTACGATAAGAGAGGGTTATCGGCGCTCTTTGAACTCTTTCGGAAAATTAACGATGCATCCGGCACGCGGAGCCAGTATTTTTCCCCTTTAAAATCGATGATTTTACCACAAAATTTCGTTGCCAGTTTTTCGTATCGATCGATCCCCTCGGCCGAAACTGCACGCGTGAACTCTCGATATCGAACGGGGCAATTAAAACGTCATTCGAGAACGATATGAAAAATTTCATACATCTATCTTTTCTCGTGTGTTCTCGCAGCGGCGGCGG